ATGCGTCCAAGGACATACAAAAAATAAAAGACCTTTAGCAGGCCTGTTGCATGAGGGGGTCTAAAAGGGGGAATCGTGAAAGAAACGTTTTACTAAAATCCTTGATATTGCACGTTTATGGTTCCATTAACCTATTTTTCAACGTGCTGTTTTTATCTGTATTTTTTGAGGGGGTTGTGGTAATATTGTTTGGAAAACATCCGATGTACACATAGTGAATTTTTGGCAATGTTAATATTTCCCCTCTCAGAAATTGAAAGCATTGGCACTTCATACCTCTGTGAGAGTCCGAAGCTGCATTTTGAGATACTTCCTGCATGGAATAAAATGAGTTACTTTTAGAGAGAAGGATGCAAATTCAATCATTTAAGGAATAACATCTTGGCCCTTGGAAGTTGTTTTCATAAATAGAATCTTCCAAATAAATCCTCGGAAAAAAAATCGAAAAGGCTGTGTCCATTTGCTCAATGGGTAGAGTTTTTACATTTATCGTGCGGTTTTTGTCTGTGAAATTACAACGGAACTCCCTGCTCGATAGAGTTTTATTATAATATTTTGCTAAAATTTTGAAATTGTACCACTTTGTATGAATTAACCTCTTTTTTAAACTTTTGTTGTGCATTTTTTTATCTGCATTTATTTGGGTTTGGGTTTTTTTGGGGGGGTATGCTTAGGCCTATATTGAATTTGCATGTTGAAGAGCAGAACTGTTTTGTAATCCAATTTACAAAACCTTTATACTTTCAGCAAGTCATCAGCATAGAAGAAGTCAGTGCTCAACTGTGGTTAAACCCCAGGCTTTCTACGGGGTCCTTACTCATTCATGGGGTTTTCTGCTACAGTACTATCGCTGCTGCATGTCAGCGACATACATTGCAGGCGGCATTTAAAACATGTACCTGCATACCAGAGAGACGGCGCGCGCTTTCGTGCGCTAATAGTCGTTGAATTGGAACCTGCATAACAGTGTCACGTGACGTTGTTGAAAAAGGCGGAATGTTTTGTCGAATTCTGTTATTGAACTCACTGGTTAAAATCATACGTCAGGCAAGGCATATTACCGTTTGACCTACATTTTAATTCCCAGGTTCGTCTTAGTCAACAGTTTGGAAAGAACGTGCGGTCAACAGGGTCGGGTTTTTGGAACGACGAGGAGGTTGCTGTTGGCTATTCTTGCAGCTTGCTTTTTATATATCTCTACAATCTTATGATGCGGTCACAACTTTTGAGGAGTTAGTTTGGCAAACGTGTACACAAGTAGGAGAAATTTTGGCAAGTTTAATATTTCCCCTAACAAAATTGAAAGCGTCGGCGCTTCAAACCTCTGTAGGCCAAAGCAGTTTTTTGAGACACGTCCCGAACGGGAAAATGGGTTACTTTTAGAACGAAGAATGAACATCGTAACATTTAAGAAGGAACATTCCGGCCCTTGGAACTTGTTCTTGTGAATTGAATCTTCTAGTTGAAACCTTGGAAGAACTATTTAAAAAAATGGTGTCCATTCACCCGACGGCTTGGTGTTCGGGTTTTTTGTTAGTTTGTTTGTTGGGGTGTTGGGTTGTTTGTTTGTTTTTTTGTTTATTTATGTATTTTTGGTCTTTTTGACAATTTTTCTTTTACATTTATTGCTCTTCTTTGTGTGTATGGAATTCACTGCCAGGCCAACTTCCTGCGCTGTGGAAATTTTTGTGTCTAGCTAGCCTTATGTCAACAAACCGTACACTTATTGTTTGTTGTGTTGGCTGGCTGGGGATCGCACGTGATTTTGTGGTCTATTGTGATCTGGGTTTTGCACAGTTGATCAACTCGGCAAGCCTCTATACTAGTCCAGTGGATTTTTTTTTCAAAGCCTATGGGGAGTTATTTGGAGACTGCATGGAGCGCGCCCAGTACTGGATATAATAGGATGATCAAAGTACACCGAGACAGATCTGAAGTGATGGGAAGCTGCGGTCTGACGTGGAATGGTTAGTACGATCTAAGGGAACTACCCGACTCGCAGAATAGCATTATTCGCTGATATTACGCCATGGGTGGCTAACTGAAATAATTATGAGGTCGAGTTCAGAGCCGACTTGTTTATGAAAAATGCTTGATCGAAAAAATTACTTCTTCCATTTTTCGTTTGTTTGTTCGTTTGTCGATCGCTGTGGTCACATTGTGCGAGTCGTCGATCAATATCAGGATTTTTTTAAACCGGTGATAAACATCCTCTTGGAGAAAGAAATGCGCTGACGAAACGGCGGATCGAAGTGCATGCTATACAGGGCAAGAGGACGGAGTTCCGAGGTGAGAAGGTTGTCCTGGATCCCACCAACCCCGCCAAATCTTAATTTTATATGTGCGGTCTGCTGTGGAATACCATGACCTGGGGAACTCCCCGACACGCAGGATAGCATTGTTGGCTATTTTACGCTACGTGCCGCCAAGTGAAATGTCAACAAATCTGAGATCAAGTTCGGAGTTTTCTACCAGGTGCAACCCGGGTGAGATTGATTTGCTTTACGTGCACTGGTGAAGAGTGCAGAGGAAGAAAGAGATGCACCTAAGCCATGCCACTTATTTTTCGTGTCAGAAAAGGGATTTCATTTCAAAGAGTGATTTCAACGCAGTCCAACATTGAGGACCGTAATGCGATATTATGTATGTTTTTAAATTATTGTTTTCTTTATTACAAGTTGATTTGGCAAGGCTTGGAATTGGAATTGTCATTTATCTAGTCCGTATAGACTGCAGAAACGTCTGCAGAAACGTGGTGTTATCCGACGACCATGCTAACACCCTTGCCATTATTGTTAGGTGTTGCTCCCGGCGCCGCTGAATGTTGCTTTCAGCACCTGTGGGTGCGGGGAGCGACGCTGGCGGTGTTGGGGGGACACATTTTGGGTTTGGTCTTCTGGTGGCACCGGGAAGTGTTGTTTTTGGCACCACAGTTTTGCATGTATCTTTGTATTTTTGATGTATTATTTTAATTGTAATTGTGTTCTTAACATATTAATATAGGTGTTATTTGTATTGTTTTATATTGTAAAGCGCCTTAGAGCCTGGATTAAGGCGCTATATAAGTGTGGAATTATTATAATAATAATAATGATGATCATCATCATCCTCATCCTTCCTCATCCTCCTCCTCATCATCCTCCTCATCATCCTTCCTTGTCATCATCCTCATCATCCTCCTCCTCATCCTCCTCATCCTCCTCCTCCTCATCATCCTCATCATCCTTCCTTGTCATCCTCATCATCATCCTCGTCATCATCCTCCTCATCCTTCCTCATCATCCTCCTCATCCTTCCTCCTCATCCTTATCATTATCACCCTCATCCTCCTCATCATCATCCTCATCCTTCCTCATCCTTCCTAATCATCATCCTCCTCCTCATCCTTCCTTGTCATCCTCATCATCCTCCTCATCCTCATCACCCTCATCATCACCCTCATCCTCATCATCCTCCTCCTCATCATCATCATCCTCACCCTCATCATCCTCATCCTTCCTCATCATCACTCTCATCCTTTCTCATCATCACCCTCATCATCATCATCATCCTCATGAAATTTTGGCAATTTTAATATTTCCTATCTAATAAATCGCAAAGCGTTGGCACTTCAAACCTCCATAAGAATCCGAAGTTGCTTTTTGAGATATTTCGTACACAGAATAAAATGAGTTACTTTTAGAGGGAAGGGTGCAAATCCAAACATTTAAGGAATAACATCTTGGCTCTTGGAAGTCGTTTTCAGTAACGAATCTCACAATGAAATCCCCGATAGGTTGGGGTTTTTTACATGTATCGCGAGCTTTTTGTGTGTGTATGGAATTCGCTGCAAGGGAACTTCCCGCTTGGTGGGTTTTTTGCGTCTAGCAAACCTTTTATCATCAAACCAGCACACCATTAACATGCCTCGGGTTTTCCCTGTTGTCCCTTTGTTGCACGTTGATCGTTCGTGATTTTGCAGTCGATCGCTACAGTGGTCCTGTGCTTTGCAGGGCCGGGGCAATCAACTTGGCGAATTTCCAAATCCAGTGATTTTGTCAATGGCTATGCAGGAGAGGTTACATGAACTGTGCAATGAGGCGGGTACCAGGTCTGAAGTTACGGGGAAATTGCGGTCTGCCGAGCTAGGAGTGGTTATCTGGGGAACTACCCGACTCACAGAATAACATTACTCGCTACATGCAATGTGCCGCCATTTGAAAGGTCAACGAAAAGGTGAGATCGAGTTTATGGTCAACTTGTTTATGATGAATAATTATTCAGCCAAAACAGCCTTTTCTTTGAAGGAGACTTTTCCGTAAGTTTTCTGTAGGTTAAGTTGAAATCAATATCTAAAGCGTTTACTCACGCTGCTATTTTTGTGTATCGATCGCTCTATGGTCACAGTATGATTGTTGTCCTTATGATATTGTGATACTGTTTTGTACATCGGTGATCAGCTGGGTGAGTGTCCAAGACCAGTGTTTTATTCAACAACCTGTTAAAGACAGAAATACGTTGACGAAACGGCTGGCAGACCAAAGTGCACAAGGCGTAGGCCTGAGGACCGCGGTTCTGAGGTGACAGGGTGATCCAACCAACCACGCCTAATTTTTGCAGTCTGCCGTGGAATGTTGGTATGGCCTGGGGCGGGGAACTCCCCTCACTGCAGGACTACGCTACGTGCTGTCAAGTGAAATCTGAAGTTGAGGCGCATCCTGGGTAATGTTTTTAATAGGCCAGAGCTTGGAGAGGAGGAAATCGAGAAGCGTCCAAGGACATACAAAAAACAAAAGACCTTTAGCAGGCCTGTTGCATGAGGGGGTCAAAAAGGGGGAATCGTGAATGAAACGTTTTACTAAAATCCTTGATATTGCACGTTTATGGTTCCATTTACCTATTTTTCAACGTGTGCTGTTTTTTCTGTATTTTTGAGGGGGTTGTGGTAATATGAATTTGAAGAGCAAAACGATATCCCACAGAACTGAATGTAGATAATAAATTATTTACAATGTTTGATTCCTTATTATTTTTCATAAGAAACGAACCGATTCAACATTATTTTGAGGCGGGTATACCTATGATGGAATCTGCTGTATACTCAAAATTAGACATGACTTGAGTTGCAGGAAGGCTTACAGAAGTCTTTTAAACAGTAACGTTACTTGTTAGCCCCATAAATAATGCTGATGTGCTGGACAACCTGTTCTCGTTGGTCTGTCCACCATGGCATACACACCCACAAAAACCAATACGTCATATTTTCAAAAACTTAAACCAAGTGGTAATTGCCCCCAACAATACATTTAATAAACAGTTTGTTATCCACAGCACGTCTAGTATTTTTGGATTTCATGGTGAAATTGAGAGGACAAAATGAAATATCTGTATCGGTTGGCAGATTTCTTTCTAGAATTTGATGAAAACAAGTCGGCACATTTTTACAGTATGTGAATTCGACTGTGGATAAGTTGGCCTGTACATTTTTGCTGAAAATGTTTTCCCCCAAAAAACACTTGGTTGAATTCTTAGAAAGGCGATTTTTTCTTGTTAAGGGGCAGGGGTAGTCTAGCATTATTGGCATTAATTATGGGACTAGTATATGCTTTGAAGGAGGGATTTGTACTTGCCTTATTGGGAAAAGATCCTTAAAAGTGAATGGAATCATCATATTGTCATTTGTTCAACCCTGGCTTTTCCAGGTCCTGTGCAACCCATTTGATGGGCGTTCCAGGACGGCGACGCTCGACGGCGGGATGGGAGCATCAAGTCTCGTATTTGTGAAGGTCATCATGCCCTCGCTGTTTCGTCTCGAGCCCGGTCACTCTTATTCGACGTGGTCTTCGTCCCCATTGCAGCTCATTTTTATACCATCAAGGACTGAACTGTTTTCGCCATCTATAGAGTCCAGCACTGCCTGCCAAGCTCTCGCCCGCATTAAAAGAACATCTTGTTTATAAAAGATCTCTTCTTGATTCTTTATCCTTATCATTGTAAACTAGTTCCAATCAGCATTTTTTGTCCGTATTTTTTACATGCTAAGTGTAACATTCTCATTAAATTCTAATGTCTTGTTTATTTCTTCCTTATATCAAACATATCTTGTTTGATTCCTTTGCTGCATCGGATAAAACTCAAGCTTCAGAATTACTATAAGTGTGGAGTTTTTCGGATCGTAACAATGGTAGGAAGTTGTGTAATTTATGTGGGACTTTAATTAAAACACTCAAAGCTTGCCATAGTTCTGCCAACCGTTGAGAAGTAGAGGTGGACAGTCGTACATATATAGTATGCAAAGAATGTCGTTCATGAGTGGAGTGGTGAAAAACACATTGAAGCCGACTGGAATGGAACATTTCCGCCTGTCACCAAATGAAATTATTCATTCCATTGACTGTGAAATAGACTGGATTGAAGTGCTGCTTGACCGCACAATCCATGCGTTCACTCGTCATAAACCATCCATAGAGCACAGGGCGCTGGCAAGGGCAAATGAATGACGTATTTTTTGTCGCTAACTAATAGGCCTATTGGATGGAGTTTATTTTAACATTTGAACACGGGTCGACACTTCCGGCCTGGTGCGCATGACACGTGTGCACTTATGCTATATTTGGAGACGGAGGGCATTAAGTAACCTCAAATGCTTTGAGTGTCCCAAACTGTGAGGTATTTTATGCTTTGCAATTGTAAAAGTGCTATTTTTGATCTTCATTATAAAGGTGGTGTAGGCCTACACCATTGGTGAAATTCCGAGAATCGGACTACCGAATAATCCTGAAATATCTTTTTTTGACAGAAAGTACACAACAGTCTCAATCAGTCTGTAAAATATTTCCACCCAGAATGCTGTAGTTTTCGAGAAAAAAACAATTCGTTCTCTTTTTTCGCACATCACATCCTTTAACAGGCGCCAATTTTCTGTATTTATTGTTTGCAGATGTCATGTTATGGGAGTCTCCATTTTAATGAACGGATAACTTAAAGCAGCTAAAATATATACCGACATTCTTTCAGGAAAAGCACTGTGAACGGAAATTATAGAAATCTGAGTGTTAGGCGTAAAGTAGAAAATAAATTGGATCAGTGGGAAGTTGAATTTTATTTAAGGAAAGGTTTTTCTAAGCCGAAAAACTTTGCAAATTCAAAATCACCCTTAGATAATAAAGGTATGATCCAACATGGCGGCTTTTCTTGAGCATGAAGATTTTTGTCAACAAAAAGTACGATTTCCTCACGTTAATCCTCCCTTGTTTTAAAACAATTATTTTTTACTTATAATTATTAATGAATCAACTATGAATGGAGTTTTAGGCTTTCATTGACTTGTGAACTGACATGAAAGTGTCGCCAGCACGATCGCGCGCGCACGTGCATGTAGGCCCAGTCTTTTCGATGTCACAGACACCATGGAGGAATAAAACACACGAATCGACTGCTGTGTTCCTGGATGAAGTTTTTCCACGAATCCGCAATGCTACATTATCAAGGAGGCGCATTACTCCAAAGTAAATTACTCCTATTCGTTGAAAGCTGCTCCTTTTTAAGGGAGTGACAACCTATCATGACTGTTCCCCACCCTGACCCCGCGGACGTTGGTCGCTTGTACTACGAACGCCCTATAAACCATAGATTTTACGCAATATAAACTACGAAACCTTCGATTTAAGCTTTGAATTGCCGCACTGTTTTTCTCGATTTTTCACAAAGCATTTGACTCAAACATGAAACAAGTGAGTGGAGTGTAAGTCGTAGTGAATATTACGCACCGTAATCAGCCAATTTTGTGAAATTACGACAAAAAAGACTGGTGTACACCACCTTTAAGTACTATAAATCAGTACATACTTGCCTTAAATTTGTTTGGCACTTGGAAAATGTAGGAGAGATTTTTTTTAAAGTGTACCACTCATCCGAAAGTGGAAATTCACACCATAAAATAAGATTCTCTTGTTTCTTTTCGTGTTGAAAACAAGCTTTGTTGAAATGTAACACCCCCTTTTGTTTCAATTAGCAATCTAAAACCAAATCTCACTGCATCCCACCTTAAAGATACATTTGAAAACGGCGCTGAGAAGACTTATGAAACTACTGAAATAGATAGTTAGTCGTTGCTGCGAGATCGTAACCCACGTGGCGAGAGAGTATTTCGCCGTGGCGAGATATTCGCCGCTGGATGTCAAGCCTAGACTGGCAAAACTCTTGGAGCAATGCTTTTGAGGCTTTAACAACGGTCAAAAATCCCGTAACCGGCGTCAATCAATCACAAACAGACGTTAACTTTTAGACACTCTTCTCACGCGTATCCGGCAACCAAAATGGCTGAACGTACTGACAATTAAAAGGCCAATTTTGTGTTTTTTAATAAGCCGTATTCTATAAATATTCATTAACACAGTGCCTCTCAAAAAGGATTTAATTAAGGTGATCCTCTCAGCTCATTAATATTCATAGTACTTTTTACCACAAGAGGGCGCACTTAAATGGCGCAAATCTTGCGCATGCGCACAACCGCTTTTCCGTGCCGAATCGGCGGCAGGTCCAGGACAACGAAGTCAATCTGCCCCGCGCGGTAGTCATCATGCTGAAAGGTAATGTACAAAATGCATAGATTCAGATTGTACGCATGCAGAGGGTTATCGTAGAACCATCATCGTCGAACTAGAGTAGGCCTACGGAAACCATCCGGGAACCCATGGCTCAGCAAAAATTCGGAGTTCACTTCCTTCAGTACAACCATCCTCTGTCACAACGTAGTTACATGTACAGTACATGTACATGTACAGTACAGTTAGTTTTAGTATGGAACGCCAAATGGTTAAAAATTCAATGTTTCATAATTATGTGTGCGATGTTTACAATAGGGGTGAATGGATCCGTCCTCTACCATATACCAGCAGAAGTGCAAGAAAACGNGTACCATCAAGGACTGAACTGTTTTCTCCATCTATGGAGTCCAGCACTGTGTCTGCCAAGCTCTCGCCCGTATTAAAAGAACACCTTGTTTATGTAAGATCTCTTCTTGATTCTTTATCCTTATCATTGTAAACTAGTTCCAATCAGCATTTTTTGTCCTTATTTTTTACATGCTAAGTGTAACATTCTCATTAAATCGTACTGTCTTGTTTATTTGTTCCTTATATCAGTGTGATCTTGTTGATTCCCTTGCTGCATCGGATAAAACTCAAGCTTTAGAATTACTATAAGTGTGGAGTTTTTCGGATCGTAACAATAGTAGAAAGTTGTGTCATTTATGTGGGACTTTAAAAATCTGAGTGTTAGGCGTAAAGTAGAAAATAAATTGGATCAGTGTGAAGTTGAATCTTATTTAAGGAAAGGTTTTTTAAACCGAAAAACTTTGCGAATTAAAAATCACCCCTAGATAATAATCGTATGATCCAACATGGCGGCTTTTCTTGAGCATGAAGATTTTCGTCAACAAAAAGTACGATTTCCACACGTTAATCCTCCCTTGTTTTAAGACATCATTATTTTTTACTTATAATTATTAATGACTCAACTGTGAATGGAGATTTAGGCTTTCATCGACTTGTGAACTGACATGAAAGTGTCGCCAGCACGATCGCGCGCGCACGTGCATGTAGGCCAAGTTCTTTCGATGTCACAGACACGAATCGACTGCTGTGTTCCTGGATGATGTTTTTCCACGAATCCGCAATGCTACATTATCGAGGAGGTGCATTACTCCAAGGTAAATTCACTGATTACTCCTAGTCGTTGAAAGCTGCTCCTTTTTAAGGGAGTGACAACCTATCATGCCTGTTTCCCACTCTGATCTCGCGGACGTTGGTCGCTTGTACTACGAACGCCCTATAAACCATAGATTTTACGCAAGATAAACTACAAAACCTTCGATTTAAGCTTTGAAGGGTCCAGTCCACTAATTCAAGCCCCATTGAAAACAGTGTAAAATCAGCACCGTTCAGGGCCCAATAGCATGCACGCCATGATCCCTCAGATTTCTGAAACAAAAATGAAATTCTTGTCTGGTCACTTATCTTTCAATTTCTTTTCAATTTTTTGTGGGTTAACCGAGTACATTTTTAATNTTTTTCAAGTGGCAACCCTCAACTTTCTTGGGCACTTAGGACCATTTTTCAACCGTAGTTTTTAGCCCATCTGCCCTCATATGAGAGCTCAAATACCCAGGGAGTTGATCCTGGCAACGATTTACACAAATTTTGGGGCCAAACAATCTCCTTTTTCAAAAGATACTGTGGGGGGCACTTTTAATACTAATGAGCTGGTCAAAAATTCTCACTTGTATTAGTGGTCTACACCCTTGAATTGCCGCACTGTTTTTCTCGTTTTTTCATAAAGCATTTGACTCAAACATGAAACAAGCGAGTGGAATGTAAGTTGTAGTGGATATTACACACCGTTATCTTGTGAAATTACGACAAAAAGAATGGTGTACACCACCTTTAAGTATAGTTACTCAAAAAAATACAGCAAGTAGCCCTTATATGCTTTCATAGATTCACAACTGTATTTAGGGGTGATATCATATTTGGATAGAAATGTCTTCAAAAGACGACGATTATTTAACGAAGAACGGAAAGGAAAATGAAATACGAGGAAATGATTCACTTGATGTGTAATGAGAAACTTGTATTGTTCCTTTTTTTTTAAAGCGAGGTATTTTTTCTCTATTGTCACTGACGTACTAAATCGACATAATGCGCATGCGTCAGTATTAGCACTCGTTACCGGTACCGTATACGCGTACCGCGCCGCGTAGTGATCGCAGGAAACCTTAGGTCAGGTCCCTACAACGGCAGGTCAGGACAACGGAGTCAATCTGCCCCGCGCGGTAGTCATCATGCTGGAAGGTAATGTACAAAATGCATAGATTCAGATTATACACATGCAGAGGGTGATCGTAGAACCATCATCGTCGAACTAGAGTAGGCCTACGGAAAACCATCAGGGAACCCATGGCTCAGCAAAAATTCGGAGTTCGCTTCAGTACAACCATCCTCTGTCACAACGTAGTTACAATGCATGTACATGTACAGTACAGTGTACCAGTTAGTTTTAGTATGGGACGCCAAATGGTTAAAAATTCAATGTTTCATAATTATGTGTGCGATGTTTACAATAGGGGTGAATGGATCCATCCTCTAGCATATACCAGCTGAAGTGCAAGAAAACAGCAAAAGCATTTAGAATAAATAAGCAAATATTCTGACTTGAATAACGTGTTCCCTTAATTCTTCGATAGAGTGTAGGCCGCCTGTGGATTTCAAAAAAGGTTTTAAATTTAAAGTTTTGAATGGGCTAAAATACATTGTTTTGACCAAATTTAAGATGGACCAAATATCAAAAAGCTTTGCCCAGCCTGAATATTGATTGAGATTTCTCTCAGAAAGTGTTGATTTATACTGAATCAGCATTTTGTTTTCAAGGTTCTCAGTTACAGTTTGTTCTGCGTTATTTTTCTCTGGGTTTAATGGCCAGCATCCTCAACCAGTTTTACCAGTTATTCCAATTAACAGTGCTGTAGTCGATTCCATCACCAGTTATTCAGCCTTAAGACACAATGTATTTTAATGGCTATGATAAAAGCATTCCTTTCTGTTCAACCTGTTACTTATGACTGGTCTTGTTCGGGACTTGTAATCAGACCTGTTAAGGGACTCATGAAAGGACTTGTGGTGCGCTCGACTACAACACTGCAATATAATTTTTATTACGATATGTTCAGAAAATAGCGCAAGCAGAGTATGTGGTGGCATTCATGAAGTAGTGTTATTACACACTTTGCAAGTTGGTGCCAAAGTCTTGTTTTGAGGGAAATGTTTTCATCTGTTCTCTTGATGCTGTACACCATCTTATAAATCCATGCTACCTATCCACTTTGTGCATAGCCGGACTGCCCACTGGTTGTGACAAGGGTACTTAGGCTCAACAAGGAGTATTGATTTGACAGGGTTTAATTTAGTCGTGGCTTTGTTATGACCACCTTCATACATTTGATTACAAAGTGTGGAGCTGAATGTAATCAGAGCATGTGTACTAGAAAAGGCTGTGTAGATTAATTCTGTGACCATTCATCATCTTGAATTACGTGTATATCCACTCACATCATTATCACTACATCATACGATCTCCACACTGTTAAGTTCGTCCGCTCCTAGCCCTCTAGACTTTCCTGTGCCAGTACTACCACACAGTTGCATGC